GGACGAGCTCGGAAAACAGGGACAACGAGTTTCAGGAAGTCCGGAAAACTTTGCCTCTGGTACTGGTCATGGGTCTGCTGCTGGTACTCTGCTACTTTCTTTTTCTTGCTGCTGCCTCGTTTGCATGTGTGTGTGCCTGGGGGAGCAAGTGCTTCTCGTTTGATCGCTCTTGCCGCATGTCGAAAAAACAGTGTGTCTCACTTGTTTCCTCGGACTGATGCAGGGAGGCATGGGGTGCACGTTGTTTATTCGGATGGGTTGAGTTCGGAGGAACCCTATAGTATACTTAAATGTGTCTAAGCACTAACCCTTAAGTCCTAAACCCTAAACAACGCCGAGAGCCGGGTGGCGAGCAGGTTCGGAGCCAAACTTTCCGACAAGAAGGGATGTGGCCCCCATTATCTATGGGCCTTTAAGGCTTTTTACACGGCTTTTTAACAAAAAACCGTCGTCTGCCTTTTGGGCGGCTGGCTCGTCTTGGCACGGGGTAAGGGGGAGCCACTGGCGGTAAGATCACCATGCCTTCAGCGGATGTGTATCCCCCTCTCGGTGAGAAGAGAGGGCGAGAATTTGTGTCGGGCAGATGGGTTTGGCGTCAGGATATGGCTCAAGGTGCGACGTTCGCGACAAAGCTGAGACTGCTTTCTTGCATGAAACTCAACTCGTAAACCTTGAGCCAAAACCTTTACGCATCAGCATCGGCCCCTCGATCTTAAACCACCAAACCTAGCACCCTAGCGCTTCAAAGCCCACAGGTGTGGTCGTCCCGCGCATCAGCCTTGAGTGAAATTAATAGATCAACCTGCAAGGCAGGTGAAAATGCAAACTGGAAAGCATGTTGGCACGTGCCCCTGCAGCAAGATTCGCTGGCCAAGTTGTGCAGTTTGAGGTAATGTTGCTTCTTGCAACACGATTTGCAATGTTCAATTGAAACTGTTTGTGTTGCCGTTCACTCACTGAATTCTCTACCGTATTCCTGGGCAGGGGGTGTTTCAGGTGTTTCAGGTGACAGTATTTCAGGTGCAATGTGTGCAACACACATAGGGTGAGAAGAACAGTGGTTGCCTTTGATTGCTCAAGCTGCGCCAGCAGCTGTGTTTCGGGGGCTCATTCCCCCCTATGGATATTAGTTTGTCAGGGAAAATGGAGTTTGTCAACAACAGAGACTGAAACAAACTTTCTCGGCCATGCACATACACGCACCATGGACTACGAGCTTGGCAGCAAGTCTCCCACAACAGGTCTAAACATGTGCCAAGTCCCGAAGCTTGAAACGCAGATGTCAACCCAGAACCCCCCCCCTTTCTTGTCTTCTTTCGCTGCAATATGGCTTGACGCCGCTTTTTCATGGTGTCAGCAGGCCAGGGTAAGGATCGAGGGTGCGGGGCTGGCCATTGCTTTTATAAGAAGGACAGCCTTCCAGTCCACAGAGCCCTAAATCCCAACCCCTAAACCCAGAGTATCAGAACTTGGCTGGCCAGGCTTGGTGGCGAGCCTCTGGCTGATCTGGGCCAGCCCGGTCGTGGCTCTGCGAGATGTGAATGCCGAGCACTGCCCCAAGCAGGGAAGGGTTTAGGGTTCAGGGTTTAGGGTTGCGGGTCCAAGGTTTGTTGAAGGTTTGCTAAGCGTTGAGAGTTCAGTGTCCTGGGTCCTGGGGTTAAGGGTTTGGTTGAGATCCCTAAACCCTAAACCCTAAACCCTAAACCCTAAACCCTAAACCCTAAACCCTAAACCCTAAACCCTAAAGCCTATACCCTAAACCCTAAACCCTAAAGCCTAAAGCCTAAACCCTAAACCCTAAACCCTAAACCCTAAACCCTAAACCCTAAACCCTAAAGCCTATACCCTAAACACTAAAGCCTAAACCCTAAACCCTAAACCCTAAACCCTCAACCCTCAACCCTCAACCCTCAACCCTCAACCCTCAACCCTCAACCCTAAACCCTAAACCCTAAACCCTAAACCCTAAACCCTAAACCCTAAACCCTAAACCCTAAACCTTCGACCCAGACTGCGAGACACACAAGGCCGAAAGTGTACGTGCTCAGGGATCCAAAACCAAATCACAGGAGCCCTGAGAGGGACCTTTCAAGAGTCGGGGTCGGGTTTGGGGCTGAAGGTTCAGAGGTACCCTAAACCCTAAACCCTAAACCCTAGACCCTAAACCCTAAACCCTAAACCCTAAACCCTAAACCCCAAACCCTAAACCCTAAACCCTAAACCCTAAACCCTAAACCCTAGAAAGCCCGAGGCTTGAGCAAGATGTCCTGGATCTGTACAAGATGGGGGGGAGCTTGGCCCACCGGCCGGAGAAGTCCAAGAACGCACCGAGGCCCTAAGCCCTGTTTTGGGTTCAGGGTTTCGGGTTCAGGATTTAGGGTTTTAGGGTTTAGGGTTTGGGGTTTAGAGCCACCGAATCATCGATTTCGGGCGGTTTCGGGCAGGCCAGGCCTTAAACCCTCAACCCTCGAGGTTGCACAGTTCAACGGTCAAGCCTGTCAAAAGGTTTTGTTCCTTTGAAAGGCTGAATTTCATGGCGTCGGAGCCCGAATGCAGACTTGTCGGATGCTTGTCCTGCGCATCCAGACTCCAGACTTCCGTCGTATGTAGGGTTCCTGGTAGCCTTGATCCTGCACCCCTCATGGTGAAGATCGCCGCTGCTGGGACCCTTGCAGTTCTTGTGCTACCCAGAGCCCGAACCATGAACCCGAATCCCTGATTCCGCAAGCCCCTAGACTTGAATCCGCGCGCAATCCCTTTTGCAAACCCAGGGTTCGGCCCCCTGAACGCCCGAGCTCAAGTTGTTGCTTTGAACGGTTTTAAAACCCCCTGGGCCCAAGTCCCCTATGCCTCTCCCCTCCAAAATTTCAGCTCCAAACCCTAGAAACCCGAAACTTTGAGCCCTAAATCCTTGAACCAAGATTTCCCCCAAACCCAAAAACCCCTAAGCCAGAGAAGCCGCCCTTGTGCAGACAAAGCATCGTCCCAGAAGCTGCCGCGTCATCTCCTGTGGGTCGCTTCGATTGCATGTTGCGGCGGTTTAGGGTTTAGGGTTTCGGGTCTGGTTCTTAGTGGGAGTTTTGGCGAATTAGGTATACCCCATGTAGATTGGTAGATAGACAGAGACACGTAATAAAGAAAAACATATTTAGGAGATGTCGGCTTTGAATACCTTCTGCCTTCAACTGGGGGTGCTTCCGCTTGGCTATATCATCTTGCCTATTGAGGGCTGAGGAGACCCGAGGTTTGGTGAGAGCTGCGTCGAAACCCTACGCCAGAGCTAGCTTCAAGAGGACTTCAGGATCGTGTGCAGCATGCTTATGCGAACCAAGGGAAGGAATTGGTTCCATCAGATCGAGATCAGAAGTTCCTGTTGAAAGGTTGTGCAAGGTTGATGTGAAGACAACGTAGAGAAACGACAAGGCTTGTCTCAGATGTGTGCATGAGGTTTGACTGCAGGTGAGGGAGGGGGGATGGCAAAGGGAGGAGGGGGGGAGGGAGGGGGGGGGGGGAAGGGGGGGGGGGGGGGGCAACAAAAGTCGCCCTCCTCAACCCTAAACCCCCGCCCCCAAACCCTCAGCCCTAAACCCTAAGCCCTAAACCCTAAACCCAAAACCCAAAGCCCTAAGCCCTAAACCCTACGAAGCCTCAAAACGCCCGCAGGGAGCCATCCGATAGAGGAGCCGCAAAGGCGCCCCGGTTTCCAGCTGGTTTCGATTCTGAGCTCTGCAAACAGGGTTTAGGGTTTAGGATTTAGGGTTTAGGGTTTAGTAGGAGGGCAACCTGGCGGTTGAGGGCTTCCGGTTTGGGGCCAGTGGTTTGGGGGTTCAGGGTTTTGGGGTTCCCGGGCTTCGTGCTTAGGGTTTAAGGGTGGAAATGGGTGGAAAGCATAGGACATGAGCTCTTCCCCGGTCCAATCCCTGACAGCCTCGACCCCTAACTCGTCGCGCCCCCGAACTGGCTGAGACCCTGAGCTCCTAAACCCTAAACCCTAAACCCTAAACCCTAAACCCTAAACCCTAAACCCTAAACCCTAAACCCTAAACCCTAAACCCTAAACCCTAAACCCTAACTCCTAAAGCCTTCAAGCCCGTAAACCTCGAGCTGATCTCCGGCAGCTGCGACCTAAACATCCCCAAGCCCCAAACCTTGAACCGTCAAGCCTGAACTTTGAATCCCAAACCTTAAACCCCCAAACCCTAAACCCTAAACCCTAAACCCTAAACCTCAAACTCTTAACCCTAAACCCTAAACCCTAAACCCTAAACCCTAAACCCCAAACTCTGAACCCTAAACCCTAAACCCTAAACCCCAAACTCTGAACCCTAAACCCTAAACCCTAAACCCCAACCCTAAACCCTAAACCCCAAGCCCCCAAGCCCCCAAATTCCCCAAGCCTCCCCAGCGCGGCTCAGGGGCGTCCAGCCGTTGGAGCCGACGGGTTCAAAGGCCTGGCCTTCGGGGGGCTTTGAGTTTGGGGTTTAGGGTTTAGGGTTTGGGGTTTGGGGTTTAGGGTTTAGGGTTTGGGGTTTGGGGTTTAGGGTTCAGGGCGTTTGGAGTTAGTAGGACTTTTGGGCTTTGGGGGTTTGGGGCTTTAGGGTTTAAGGGGGCTTAGGCGTTTAGGGGTTTCGGTGTAAGAATCCTGCCTCAGGGGTTTCCTGAACGGAGGGTTTAGGGTTTAGGGCTTTGGGGTCGAGGGTTTCGGGATTGTTCTACTTTCCCTTTGAGCCTTAATCCCTAAAATTGGGAATTTGGGTTTATCTGGTGTTAGGGGTCCATTCGTCGGGTGTTCAGGGGTTCTGCTTTTATATGGGGGAGTATACTGTAAATGGATGAGTCGCAGGATTCCCAGCCACTTCTGGCTTAGCTGCTTCATGTTGAGATACACCGCAGGACAACATCTCCGCCGGGACACTCCAGACCCTAGCTCCAACACCTGGTGTTGTCTCGTCCTCAATTTTTAAACGGGCTGTCTTCCGGACAGTGCCTGACGCATTGCCATGCTACCTGGTGTTGCATCTCTGGGGGTTAATTGGATGCGCTCCTCCAATGTACCGATGCTTCCGGCAACTCGGGTCTGCTTTCGTCCTCGCCAGCGGCCTATTCGGGTACGTCTTCGAGTGGACACTGGTGGGCGCATGAAGGTGCCGAGGGGCCGCAAGAAGAGCTCAAAACCCATGGAGTGGGCAAAGGAGACGCGGCTCACCCGCTGGCGGCAGCGCGCTGCAGCGACAGCCCTTGCAGTGCTTGTGATGGTTGGAGTGGTGGGAGGTGCTGTGTCCAACTCTCGCGCTGCAGCCCTGCAAGCACGTCTGGAGCAGCATGGGCAGATTGAGTATGTCTACAAAACGGATACCCCGTTCCGAAAGGCCGAGCGCTTCGTGCGCGCGCCTCAGTCGATCCTGAACCGCCGGATTGGATCCCCCCGTGAGATTCCTTCCCCTCGCGCATGGAGGGGCTGGGTCTCGGATACGGCTGGGGTGTTGAGCCCCAGCGCTGTGGGAAAGATCAACCAGCTGGCCGATGAGATCCAAAGAAGGACGGGGGCTGAAGTGGTGGTCGTCACCGTTCCTGGAGTGTCAGGTGCAGAACAAGACAGGAAGGAGGTCAAGAGATTTGCCACTCAGCTTTTCAACTCTTGGGGCATCGGGGATCGCTATAAGAACAATGGAGTCTTGGTCTTGGTGTCTACTGGTGACCGTCGCGTGGAGGTGGAGATCGGAAAGGGCTTGAACGAGGTCTTCAACCGAGATGAGTGGCTACAGCGCATGATCCACTCACAGATCACGCCTTCTTTGCGTCGGAACCTCTACGATCAGGGTGTCACCTCTGGCGTCTCAGCCTGCTGCCGACAACTGGAGCGAAGCGACAGGGAGATCTCCTCACCGCAGCGCTGGCGCACCCGAGCGAATCTGCTGTGGACCGGCAGCGGCTTAGCCGCCGTGGCGGGACTCTTGTTTCGTGGCTCCTGGGCGAAGCCACCGAAGTGCTCGCTGTGTGGTGCGCGGATGTCCCGCCTGCGGGCCGCGGAAGCGGGGGAGCTGCAACCAGGACAGCGCGCCGAGCTGGAGCTGGGCTCCGTGCAGCACGTGCTGTGCGGCTGTGGGCGCCCTGGGTGTCAGAAGCGATGGGCTCAGGACACCGGGGTGCGATCGTTTACCGGGGCCCAACGGATAGGCGGAGCGGTGGGCCGCAACCGGAATCTGAGACTGACACCCAAAGAGGTGCAAGCCGCAACCAGAGACACTTGGCCGTGTCATGCTAAACCCTAAGCCCGAAACCCTTTTGTGTGGATTTAGGGTTTTGGGTTTAGGAGTTTAGACGGAGCAGGGCCTCCAGTTTCCACAACTTTTGTGACCCCCTACATACCTCTCTCTCTCTCGCTCTGTCTCTCCCCTGAAGCTCTTTCAGTGGCCTGAGGAAGCCGAAGCTGTGGGCATCCTCTCACAGGTTCAGCGCCTCTCTCGCTTCCGGCCTTGTGCGTCCTGCGGCTTCCGCTGCGCCCTGACGCGCACGGTGCTGCTGGTGCCGCCGACGACCGTGACACCGGGCTTTCGGGAGGATCTGTGCCGTGGCCGGAGGTCTTGAAGAGGTACTGAGGGTTCTAGAGTCTCAGGGTAAGCTCGCGTATGTTCACAAGCAGTATGGCACGCATGAACTCGCTTTTGACCTGAACTAGCAACTAGGCTCTGGGAGAATGAGGGTTCAGATGCGCACAACCTTGTTGGAGGGGTCTTGGGAAGTAATTCCTGAGGACCGAGTGCTACTTCTGCTCGGCCAGCTACAGCAACCAAGTGGTCTTGCCCGTGCTACCGAAGATGACAAGCTCCGGTGGTGGAGGTGGGGGAGGTGGATCTTCGGATGGCGGTGGCAGTGGTGGGGACTTCTGATGTCCGCGAAAAGGATGGTCGTGTTTATGTTAGGGGCTCTGCGCGCTTTGGGATGCTTCTTAGCCCAGAACCGGTTTCAAGGCAGTCCCTGCATGAACTAGATCATGGCTTTGGTTTCCAGGTTGAAGTCGTCGGGTTGTTTTGATTTTTGCTTTGGGTTCCAGGGTCCTACATCTTGGGCTGTTGAAAGGGGTCAGGCTTTGGAGGAGTAAAGTTTGCACCTTTGAGGGCCTTTAGTGTTTGGGGTATCTTGGGGGAGTAGACTCGCTAGTGCTGAAAGGGTACAGACACCAGTTGAAACCGACCGTTGGCTGTCTACCTGGTAGACTCCTGGCCAGGATTCCTCCACGTGCTTCATGGACAAATCCGGATACAGCCGGGCTCCTGGTGATGGCCCCTGAGCGCTGAACCCTGGGCGCTGAATTCTGAACCCCAAAGCCCCTGAACCCCAAACTCTAAACTGCTCCAGGCTTGGGGGGTGCGAAGGTCGAGACACTCCTCCGTACCCACCCACCTCTGCCACCGCCCTACTGCCCGGACAATGAACGTCACACGTATATGAAACATAGCTTTTGCCGCTGTCAATGGTTCGTGTATAGAGTGTTCTTCGCAAACGCTCGCCAGTGTGTACATTGGGTGTCCTTTTGGGACCAGATCAATAAAACCCTACTTCATACAGCAGCCCACATCTCCCAAATTCAACATCCCAAGCCCTGAGCCCCAGACCCTCCAACCCTAAACCCCAAACCCCAAACCCTAAACCCTAAACCCTAAACCCTAAACCCTAAACCCTAAACCCTGAGCTTTAAATGCTGAAGAGGTGGCGGCTGCAAGATGGGCGGCTGCTCCTGCTCATCCCTTCAGTTCGTCCACTCAGCCGGTGTAGGGTTCAGGGTTTAGGGTTTAGGGTTTAGGGTTTAGGGTCCTCCAGGAACGAGGGCTTAGGGGTCCCTGATCTAGGGTCTTTCCAGATGTGGAAGGGTTTTTCGGACCTGCCGGATTAGGGTTTAGGGTTTAGGGTTTAGGGTTTAGGGATGTTCCCCCCGATATCAACAGTCCTTAGCAGATTCTACTTGGGGGCACTACAATCCCTATTAAGGACTGTTAGCATAAGGGGAAACATCCCAAGCTCAGGGTTTTTAGCAGGGCTTGCTCAGGTTCGGCTTGTGGGCCTCCAGGCGTTTAGGGTTTAGGGTTGAGGGTGTTAGGGTTTAGGTTTTAGGGTTTAGGGTTGAGGGTTTAGGGTTTATAGGGCTTAGGGTACCCGCAGTATGTGAGCTGGTATTGTAGCATTAGGGCTTCATGGGGTTTAGGTCAGGCTTTCCGCTCAACCCTGAACCCTAACCCCAAAGCCCAACCTGGGTTTAGGGTTCATGGGGTCTTTAGGGTATTTAGGGTATGTAGGGTATTTAATCGACAGGGGTCCATCAAATATGTTGCACAACGTTCTGCGAGCACAGAGTTTTGTCAGCGGCTCATATAGGGTTGAGGGTTTAGCAGACGGGCGCGGTTCAGCAGCAGCTGTTTTGGGGTTGCATAAGTGGCCTAAATTAGGTTGCCATATGTTTTTGCAATGTTTGTGCGGCACTTTCAGCTTGTTCTTAGGGTTAAGGTTTTAGGTGTTTTTGAGGGTTTCCTTCTGGAATTTGCTTGTTTTGTCTGAACCGTTTCCTCGACGGATCTGCGTACGCAAGTCCGTCGTCTGTGTGCGTTTTGCTGCATGTCCAGCAACTTGTATGTACAGGGTACTTTCCACTTGATTGCCCAGAGCATCCATGCGCGCACGATAAGAATGTCCATGTCGCCAGCACGTCCATAGCCCAAAGCATCGATCCATGCCCACACGACGATAAGCATGTCCGTGTTGCCGGTGCGTCCACTGCCCAGAGCGTCTGTGCCCACACGATAAGAGGCGTCGATAAGAACCACGTGCGTCATTCCTGGACCCTTCTTGACACACTGCATGTACTTTGGTGTTTCGGATGGCTTGGGATCTAAGATTTTTGTCCTGAAGCCACCAGTACTGCAAATTACAGGTGATTCCTTCTGAGGAGGTGCGCCCGACGGGAGGGTGTAGGGAGTGGAGTATGTCGGGTTTCGTGTTTAGGGTTTCGGGTTGCCCGAAGCCCCAAACCCCTGAGTCGCTCCCGGACCTCTTTGCCAAGGCACTGCTACCCGAAGTTTGCGAAGGAGATCCATCGTCCTGCTTGACTTCGGGCTTGGGAGTCGGGTTTGGGGTTGAAGGTTCAAGGGTACCCTAAGCCCTAAGCCCCAAGCCCCAAACCCTAAACTCTAAACCCTAAACCCTAAACCCTAAACCCGAAAGCCCACCTAGGACCCCGTAGACCAGGCCATGCAGCGTAGGCCCATATGGGGGTTAACGACATTGCGGCGTACCTTCCTTGGGGTCCTTACTACAAGGGGATCCTAGGGTTTAGGGTTTAGGGTTTTAGTTTTTCTTGGGGCTTTTGGCGAGCGTGTTTAGAGTGTTGCTTTACACATACTTTCGACGAGTGTATATTTGGGAGTCCTTTTTGGGGACGCTGGGAAAGAACCCTACTTCATATGCGTTTGCTCCCAATTTAGTAGTACGTACCCCTTGCGGCACCACCCACACGAGAGAGTTCTTATGATAGGAACGGCATGAGTTGGAGTTCTTGGCGAGTTTGGACCTATCGTTTCTTTGCTTCCGTAGTGATGAGGGATCCTTGCAACATGTTGCAACCTCTTCGAAGCCCATCTGAATTATTCTCCTGGCTTTGCGAGGACGAGAAAGATCAAGATGTTGGCGTTTGTGGCTTAGCAGCACCACGCTCAGAGAGTCTCTGCTCAGTTTCTCAACCCCAAAGCATATCAGTGTGCTGCGCGCTGACTTCTATTGCTTGTAAGGGAGCTGGCTATCATCGGACAGTACGAGGAGGAGGAGGAGGAGGCGGAGGAGGAGGAGGAGGAGGAGTGGTAGAAGTAGCACTACTTACTATGGCGAGCACTGCCAATAACAACAGCAAAGCGCATAGTAGTAGTCATAGTCACGGTCAGAGTAATAATGATTCTGGTCTGTCAAGCCTAAAGCCCTGGTAGACTGCTTCTTTTCGGAAGCCGTGAGGCCGCAAACAATCTCTTACACAGCATAACCCACTGCCCCCCAAACCCTAAACCTTAAACCCTAACCCTAAACCCTAAACCCTAAACGCCAAACCCCAAACCCTAAACCCTAAACCCAAAACGCCTAAACCCCGAAATCCCTAAACCAATAAACCCCTAAACCCCTAAACCCCTAAACCCCTAAACCCTAAACCCTAAACCCTAAACCCTAACCCTAAACCCTAAACGTAAAAAACCAAACCCAAAAGACCCTAAGCCCTAAAGCCTAAACCCTAAAAACCCTAAGCCCCAAAAAGCCCTAAACCCCTCAAAACAGCCCTGAACCCCAAGAACCCTCCAAAAACCCCCGAAGAACTCAAAAACCCCAAGAACCCTCAAAAAACCCAAGAACCCTCAAACAAAAAATGCCCGAAAGCAACCGAGCTTCAGGGGTGAAACTCTAAACCCTGAACCCCAAACCCTAAACCCTAAACCCTAAACCCTAAACCCTAAACCCTAAACCCTAAACCCTAAACCCTAAACCCTAAACCCTAAACCCTGACATGTGGCCAGATGTGGGTCATGTCCCTCTTCTCAGCGGTCCTCTTCGGTGCAGTGGACGGGGGGCCCTGGAACAAGGATTCAGGGTCTGGGGGTTTAGGGTTCAGGGTTTAGGGTTTAGGGTTTAGGGTTTAGGGTTTAGGGTGTAGGGCTTAGGGCCGTTCTCAACACCGCCACACAAGGTATCCTTACGGTATATTTTGGAGTTTAGGGTTTAGGGCTAGGGTTAAGGATTTAGGGTCTGGGGGTTTAGGGTTTAGGGTCTGGGAGTTTAGGGTTTAGGGCTAGGGTTGAGGGTTGAGGGTTTAGGGGTTTAGGGGTTTAGGGGTTTAGGGGTTTATTGGTTTAGGGATTTCGGGGCTTAGACGTTTTGGGTTTACTGTATTTGGGGCGTTTGGGAGTTACTAACGCTCCTGAATAGGGATTATAGTAACCCCCCCCCCCGATTATCATCACAAAAAAGAACTGTTAGAACATAGAGGGAACATCCCATTTTATAGGGTACAAGGAGTTCAAGCCGTTTCAGGGTTTAGGGTCTGCTTAGGGTTCAGGGTTGAGGAGCCCAAACGAGTCACAAAAGGAGCCGAAGCAGCCCCCCAAAGCCCCAACGCCCCAAAGCCCCAAAGCCCCAAAGCCCCAAAGCCCCAAACCCCCAAAGCCCCAAAGCCCCAAAGCCCCAAACCCCTAAACCCTCAACCCTCAACCCTCAACCCTCAACCCTCAACCCTCAACCCTCAACCCTAAACCCTAAACCCTAAACCCTATACCCTAAACCCTAAACCCTAAACCCTCAACCCCCAAACCCTTAACCCCACCCTGGAGCCCTTCTCAGGTCTTCGCGCTCATGGTGCGGAGCCCCGGTTCAGGTTTTAGGGTTTAGGGTTTAGGGTGTAGGGTTTGGGGTTTAGGGTTTAGGGTGTAGGGTTTAGGGTTTAGGGTTTAGGGTTTAGGGTGTAGGGTTTAGGGTTTAGGGTTTAGGGTTTAGGGTTTAGGGTTTAGGGTTTAGGATCACGTGGACAGGCACCTCGGGGCTCGATGGATTCTAAACCTAAAGCCCCTTGCATCGAGGAGGCTCAAGCACAAATGTGCTGCGCGAAAGAGTCAACTCGGTCGGCCCTTTTGGGTTTAGGGTTTAGGGTTTAGGATTTAGGGTTTAGGGTTTAGGGTTTAGGGTTTAAGGTTTTTTGGGACATTCTGTTTGTTCCCTTATTGGGGTTGAAGAGGACCTTGAGACCATTCCAGGGCAATGCGTGGTCTGGAAGGGGATCATGGTTCAGGAATATATTTTCGGAGGGTGTTAAGGGCCATCTTGGGTGTGGTGCGTGAAAGAGGTTTCCGACAAGATGGGGCCCCAAAGACTGTACCTTAAGGGTTTAGGGTTTAGGGTTTGGTGTTTAGGGTTTGGGGTACGTTGTCGTGTAGCAGCTAGCGCGACTTGGACAAGCATTTGCCTGCAAAACTGTTTCGGAAACCTCTCGCACCTCCGGTTCCACCTGACGCGGCTTTCTCTGCGGGCCTCATGATGGGTCCACTCGATGGGGCAGAAGTCAGGGATGTTGACCTATTTGGATGGAAGGGCTTGCTGTTTTCCCGGCCGGACTTCGCAGAGTCCTTCGAGGGGGAAATCCTGAGGACAATTGACAACAGACAAGAGAACAACCCTGCGCACCAAACATTCAGCACGACACGCAGCGAGGATGAGATCCAGTTGCTGCGAGACAGCTTCTACACAGAGTCCTTGGAGGATCCAGTCCCTGCAGAGGGGGAGGTCAGCCTGGAGATCGCTTCTGCTTCTGCTTCCACCGCCGAGTGGCCCCCGACAAAGTCGACAAAGTCACCGAGTAATTTGGGTAGAGTTGAAGAAAAGATGCCCAACGTGGACATCTTCAGTTTCAATTCTCAGAAGTCACGGTGTGGGGGTGGCGACTCTGCGGAGAACAGCCTGGCACATCAGTCTGCAGTAGCTGTCCTCCGGCATGGTGAGCGTCAGGACTCGGTCTTCGGATCCACCTGGCACATGGGGGCGGACTGTCAGCGGTACCCCTTCGACTGCCCCATCACTAACGATGCCATCGTGGAGGCAAGGCACGCGGCCGGCAAGCTGAGCGACTTTGCTGACTTCGACGTGATCGTGTCGTCACCGTACCTGCGCTGCGTTCAAACTGCCATTGCCTTGGCGGACGCGCTGGACGTCATGGTGCTCTTGGACTACGAGCTCGGGGAAGTCTTCGGCCCTGCGGTTTTCGGGGATATGGATCCGGCTGGCCGAGCCTGGCGATCCCGGCAGGATCTGCATACAGCTTTGACGAACTGGAGCCCCCAGCTTCTCCAAGGCTTTTCGAAGCCACCGGTTGAGCGAGTGTGTTGGCAAAAGGTTTTGGGCCAGCCACCTAGCTGGGGCGAAAAGTTGACAGACGCCCATCATCGTTATGCCACGAGGTTCCTGACCTACCTCGACCGTGGCCAGCGTGCGGGCAAGAACATGATCCTGGTAAGTCATGGCATCATGGTGCAGACTTGTCTCAAGGTGCTACCTGGCACGTCGGCCTTAAGTGTGGCATCCATCCCCTTCTGCGGCGGGCTGATGGCGCGCCGTCGGATCTCCAAGGGCAGCCCCGAGCTGCCCCGCAAGGCGGAAACCTCGCCGTGCCAGGAGGCGGTGGGGAACTGGCCCGAGGGGAGCGAAGGGAGGAGGCCAGCAAGCGACTACCTGGAGCAAGCGCAGCTTCATGGATGGGACGTCCAGACTTTCGAAGTTGTCTTTGACGTCGCAGCCGACAAGCCGGCAGCAATGGCAAAGCGCTACCGAGACTTTCTCACCAGGCTGAAAGCCGGCAGATTCTCCTGGGTTCAGTTGCAGGTCCTCCTCGGGCAATTACCCGCCGAGCTGCCCCCGCAAGTCTTCCAGGCTCCCGAGCTGACACGGCCACGCAGCTCTCCATGGAGATCTTGAGGTGCCCCTCGCAGCAGGATGCCCTGGACGCGGAGTGCAAAGTTCCGCATCTGAGCCTCGACAGCTGATGGAAAGGAGGCGCAGCCGGCGCAGCCGGCGCAGGTGATGTGTAGGCTTTGCGGGCTTTGCGTAGCGAAGCCTTGGGGGGCCAACAGTTCTGGCGCCCGGCATACCAATTCATGTTGACATGGATGTGCAGGTTGTTCAGAGCCTGCAAATTGAGTTCAACGGTCAACCTGCTTTAGTCGGCTCCATGCTCATGCTCTTCCTGTACTGCGCTAGTGCAAGGCCGATGTTCCCAAGTAGACGAACCGAATGCCTTTCTCTGTTCTTGACGACAAAGTCAGAACAGTCCGTGGAGCCAACCAAAGCAGCCGATCGCAAGCTGAAGTAATGTCAGCCGGTTAATGTTTGAGCACAATTGGCTCTCCAGGGCAGGCAACTTTCTTGGGCGTGCTGTAAACCCTAAACCCTAAACCCTAAACCCTAGACCCTGAACCCTAAAACCCTAAACCCCTAAAACCCTAAACCCTAAAACCCTAAACCCCTAAACCCTAAACCCTAAACCCATACGTGGCGATCTCAAGATGCTGGATGCCTCTTGTTGGCCGAGAGCCCTGGTGAGCTGGATTGCGTGTTCAGTTGGCTTGTCGCAAGAGATCCCGATGTGATTCAGGCGAGGCCACCCCGAATAGCTGCGTGCATCCCAAATGGGAGCTGCACCACTGTGTTTCCGAAATTAGGGGTACCTTCTTGGGGTCCTTGCGATTACGGGAATCCGAATAAATTTGGGGGTCTATGTTAGGGTTCCCCTATCTTCGCAAACCCACATCTCCTGGCCGTGCGAGATTGGTCCGGAAGTCTGCAGAATCACGAGGCGAAAGGCATGCGCCTTGCGTTTGAGATGGAGGCGTGCTGGAGCGACGTGTAGCTGCATCTCCACACAAGTGCTAAACCCTAAACCCTAAACCCTAAAGCCTAAACCCTAAACCCTAAAGCCTAAACCCTAAACCCTAAACCCTAAACCCTAAACCCTAAACCCTAAACCCTAAACCCTAAACCCTAAACCCTAAACCCTAAACCCTAAACCCTAAACCCTAAACCCTAAACAGATACATATGGTGGACCCCGATTAGGACACCCCGGCCGTGGCTTAGGCCCTAAACCCTCCAATTTCAGGGTTGATAAAAAGAACCCTTCTTGGGTTTAGGGTCTACTTGGAGGTTCATAGGTACTTCTCGCCCCAGTTATACGTCTGCTTAGTCAACTTCTAACCTACTCAGGGGACTTCGGGGGCTTGTAAGGAAAGCCAGCACTGGGGCTCAAGTACCCTGAACCTCAGTAGCCCCTGCCGAAACCCTAAACCCTGAACTTGGGATGTTCCCCCCGTTATATCTTAACAGTCCTGAATAGGGATTATAAGAGGGAGGGGTACTATTCTCATCCCTACTACGGACTGTTAGTATAAGGGGGAGCTTCCCAACCCTAAACCCTACACCCTAACCCCTAAACCCTAAACCCTAAACCCTAAACCCTAAACCCTAAACCCTAAACCCTAAACCCTAAACCCTAAACCCTAAACCCTAAACCCTAAACCCTAAACCCTAAACCCTGAACCCTAACGGCCCTGCAGCCTTCGGCCTTGGGCCTCCCTCAGGTTACTCGGTCTTGCCTGCAGTATGAGGACAAGACGAGGCCGGACACGGGTTTGCCGACACCTGAAAGCCCGAAACCCCTAAACCCTAAACCCTAAACCCTAAACCCTAAACCCTAAACCCTAAACCCTAAACCCTAAACCCTAAACCCTAAGCCCTAAACCCCTAAACCCTAAACCCCTAAACCCTAAACCCTATACCCCCAAAACCCTTGACCCTGAAAAACCCTCGAAGCGCGAACTTCAGGCCTGTATGTCGGCCAAAAGCCACACAAACACAAGGATCCTACTATGGGGCTATCAGGGCTCCTATACGGGGGAGTCTGGAAAACCCTGCTTGCAGAATCCTTATGTCTATGGTGTTTTATTTTGGGCCCCTAGAATTCCACCTAATCTTTGAAACCTTCAAAAAAACCCCTGAACACCGGAAGCTGGCATAGCTGAGGGGAAGCCGAGTTTGCAGGTGGTGCCCTAGACCCCTAAGCCCTAAACCCCTTAAGCCCCAAAACCTAAATGCCATCAGGGGAACAGTACCTCCAGACAAAGGCCCAAAACCCCAATGCCTGAAACCCTCAAACGTAAAGCGTGCTAACACCCCAAACCCCAAAACACCCCGAAGTCCCCAACCCGAAAACCCCAAAGCCCTGAACCTTGCACCCCAAGCCCAAAAGCCTTCAGCCGAAGCACCCAAAGCCAGACCCTAAACACTGAGCTTGCAAATCCCCACGGGCGCGACAACCTTACTGCCCCAAACCCAGCCAACTGCGCGAGGACCCAGGGTTTAGGGTTGAGGGCTTCGAGCTTGTGGTTTCGGGGTTCAGGGTTTATGTGTTCAGCATTTGGGGTTTAGGGCTTAGGGCTTTTTGGTATTGATATTGGGTGCGGCGGGTAACATGAGGTTCCCCCCAACTCGGTTTCGCCAGGGAGCTGGCAAGAGAAACAACGACCATCCGGGCACGGGCCGCCCACTGAGTGCGGTTTGGGAGGTTTTGGGGGCTTTAGGGTTTCCAGGGTCTTAGGGTCTTAGGGTTTTAGGGTTTTAAGGGTTTTAGTTTGTTTTAGTGTTTTAGGGTTTTAGGGTCTTAGGGTTTTAGGGTTTTAGGGTCGTAGGGTGTTAGGGTCTTAGGGTTTCAGGGTCTTAGGGTCTTAGGGTTGGGGGGGTAATAGGTTTTTAGGATGGTTTTAGGGTTTCAGGGTCTTTGGGTTTTAGGGTCTTAGGGTTCAGGATCTTGTTTTGCGAGCCATCCGGATGCTCAGCTTTGTCGGCTTGGGCGTTCATCTTCCCCCACCCCCTCAACCCTAACCACCTAAACCCCTAAGTCCCTAAACCCCTAACCCCTTTACTCCTAAACCCTTAAACCCGTACCCCCTAAACCCCGCCCTTCAGCCCTAAACCCTAACCCTAAACCCTAAACCCCAAACCCTAAGCCCTAAGCCCTAAGCCCCCAACCGTAACCCCTAAACCCTAAACCCTAAACCCTAAACCCTAAACCCTAATCCCTAAACCCTAGACCCTAAACCCTCAACCCTCAACCCTCAACCCTCAACCCTAAACCCTAAACCCTAAACCCTAAACCCTAAACCCTAGACCCTAGACCCTAAACCCTAAAACCTAAACCCTAAACCCTAAATTTCCCCAGGCGCGCCGGTCGCAGGCGAGCTCCCCGGCCGCTTCCAAGGGCAACACGCAGCCGGGGCCCCGGCTGCAGTTTAGGAGTTTAGGTGGTTAGGGTTTAGGGTTTAGGGTTTAGGGTTTAGGGTTTAGAGTTTAGGGTTTAGGGTGTAGTTTAGGGTTTAGGGTTTAGTTTAGGGTTCAGGGTTCAGGGTTCAGGGTTCAGGGTTTAGGGTTCAGGGTTTAGGGTTTAGGGTTTAGGGTTTAGGGTTTAGGGTTTAGGGTTTGGGAGCCCTCGACTTCAAAGTGGAAGGGCAGCTGCCCGGCTTAGGGTTCAGGGTTTCAAGAGCCGGGGCTCCTACTTGGAGGTTCATGGCACTTCGTAACCAATGATGACTGTACTTCTAACCACATTAGGGCACTTAGGGTTTAGGGTTTAGGGTTTAGGGTTTAGGGTAGTGGGTTTTAAGTACAGGTATAATTGGTTAACAAGTACCATGAAGCTCCAAGTGGGGAGGTTCAGGGCGCGCAGGCCGCAGGGCTCTTGCACCCCCGTCATCCAGTAGCCCGTACACCTCCAACCCTCTCAACCCCAAACCCTAAACCCTAAACCCTAAACCCTAAACCCTAAACCCTAAACCGTAAACCCCAAACCCTAAACCCTCAACCCTAAACCCCGATCCCTACATCCCTAACCCAACAAGCCCTAAACCTGAAAACAAATCCTTAAACCCGAAAAAGATCCCTATATCCCTCTAAACCCTAAACCACAAGCCCTACATCCCCAAATCCCCGAAACCTTACATCCTTAAATCCCTAACCTCTGTTGCGACTTCGGGCCACAGAAAGCTACTGTCAGGGTTCTTTGGGTTTAGGGATGTAAGTTGAGGGTTTAGGGTTAGCTCGGTTTAGGGTTTAGGGTTTAGGGTTTAGGGTTTAGGGCTGCCGTGCGCAAGGCAGGCGCCGGATGGCTGATCCGCAGCTCCTGGCCGAGAAAAGAGCGCGCGATAAACACGGGATCCTTACAGGGTTTCGGGTTTCGGGTTTAGGGTTTAGGGTTTCGGGTTTAGGAGTTTTTCGGGTTTAGGGTTTGGGGTTTCGGGTTTCGCTTTTTAGGGTCTAGGGTTTAGGGTTTCGGGTTGAGGGTTGAGGGTTTCAGGGTCTAGGGTTTCAGGTTTAGGGTTTCGGGTGTTAGGGTCTAGGGTTGCGAATTTTAATTGGAGTTTAGGGTTTAAGGAGCCTTCGGGTTTGGGGCTGGGAAGGCTTCATTTTCGATGATTCCGTTTTGCCAGACCCTAAACCTTAAACCCTAAACCCTAAACCCTAAACCTTAAACCCGAAAAACTCCTAAAAAAACCCTAAACCCGAAACCTTAAACCCTAAACCCTAAACCCTAAACCCTAAACCCTAAACCCTAAACCCTAAACCCTAAACCTTAAACCCTAAACCCTAAACACGATTCACAGGGGAGCCTGCGAGTGCAGAGCTGTACGCACGCAGCCCAGTCCTCCCTCCGTACCCTCCATGTCCGCCCCCCAAAATCTTCAAATAAACCCTAAACCCTAAACCCTAAACCCTAAACCCTAAACCCTAAACCCTAAACCCTAAACCCTCAACCCTAAACCCTAAACCCTAAACCCTCATCCGTAAACCCCAGACCCGTTTCTAGGACCCCGGAGCTGGGCGTAGGCCTACGCAACCGCAGCTGTACCGGGCTCTGCGCAAGCCTGCGCC